TTCCCCTCTGACATCAGCAGTTTCTTTCTTGGGTGGTGGAGCTTCTGTGAGATCAAATCTGTGTGTCAGGAGAGGAGCATTCCACCTTTCTCCTGGTGTTACCTCCCCACTGGTGTGGGGGTGGGGGATCCGGGGAAGGCCACTGGGGCTTCTGACTCCCCCCGTCTGCAGGCTCTAGCGCTATCTTTCTGCTCGCCACTTCAGAAAGGTGCACAAACCCTGGGCAGAGCAATCAGACAATAGTCCAGACGCAAGCTGTCTCAGCTCTACAGTGACCATAGTTTCTGAACCCAAAACTGAGCCATACAATTTGAGAAACGATTTCTGGCCTCAGGCCGCTGACGGATAGAGGAGTCTGAGGTAAGGCCTGGCCACCCACGATCAAACTGAGACACTCTGATGATTCGCAAGGACAAGTATTTCATATTCAGGATTACCCGGGACAATCTGAGTTGTCATTCACCAAATTGCCAGGAAAAAAGAAGAAAAGGAAGTGTTCTGGGTTCAGGTTGGGACTTTCTAACAAGTAGTAGAGATAACCGGTGCTTTTCATAAACGGTCTTTCAGTGGGTCTGTGAACCGCAGACTGAAAACACAGCCTCCAGGCAAAAACTGCAGGGGTCAATCTCACATCAACCGAAAACCCTCTTCCCTGGAGAGACAGGCGCCACAGGACCAGTGATGTCCTCCTGAGGCCTGCATTGCTGCCCTTCCCTGGTTCGTTTGCTCCATCCTGTATTAATGTGCACGTGCGTGGCCAGCTTCCCCACACAAAAGGCACATGTCCTCCCTGGGGGTGTGGCTTCTCCATACCCAAGGTTTCCAGTCACAGCTTGTCCCACGCAAGGAAATGCCCTTGGTCTCCTGCATGATTCCTGCACTTTAGATGGACAACATCCGGTCAGAGAGGCCACCTTCTAGTTTATACTCAGGCCAGACAGGGAGGATGTCCTTGAGCCTTTGGAATTTGAGGAATGGGAGTAGCACAAGCCTCCGTCCTCAGAAACATGTTTTATGAACAAATACCTTTGCGGCACCTGGCCGGCTCAGTCGGAAGGGGACGGGACTGACTCTCAATCTCGGGGTTGTGAGTTCAAGCCTTGTATTGTGGGTAGAGATTACAAAAAAAAAAAAAAAAAAATTTAAAATATCTCGATTAATAGCATAAACATGATAGTATTCACTGGGTTGGCTGAACAAAGCATTCATGTGGCACTTCCAAGAATGAAGACGCCAGAGACTGAGAGCAAGGGCTCTGTTGCCGGACTGAGCTGTCCAGGCTGCCCCCTGGTCTGAGCCTCCCCCCAGGTCTGCAGCCTCATCTCTCCTGCTTTCCAGACTTGGCCATGGCCAGGCTGTGTTCTGCCAAATGTGGCCTTGACCCCATTTTGTTTTAAAACAAAAGCTTAGCATGGCTTTCTCAAGGAAAAGGCAAGAAGCCTGGAACAAAGAAGCAATCTGTCTGCCTCCTTCATGGACCGTGCTAGCAAGGAGCCTCTACGCACCTGCCAGTGGGCAGGAAGGGTTCGTGTGTTCGCTCCGGCAATACTGAGCTCCCACGGTGTGGGGGGCTCTGTGTGTGGTGCTGGGAGAGAAGAAAGGAAAGAAAGAAGAAAACAGGTTCCATGCCTTCTGGGATTTTAGAAGTTGCTAGAACAAATGAGACAGCTATTCATATAAATAGAAAACAAGATGGAACATAATCAAAAGCTAAAGGACAAGGAGAATCCAAAAGCTAAAGGACAAGGAGAATCCAAAAGCTCTGGGGCAGATGGCTTTGGGGAGAGGGGCTTAGAGGTGCTCCCAGGAGGCTGGGGCTGGCAACAGGGAAGAGAGACCAGAAGCCAGAAGTAAGGACGGCTTTCTGGAGTGGGTCTCTAAGGGCATACACTCAAAGGACATCCAGGATTTTATCAGATGGGGATGGGATAGAGCCATTCCCACTCAACACTTCAGAGCACAGATGCACGCTAGAAAGCATAGGCTTTGCTCAAGACACAGCAAGATCTGGTCTGAATGGAGCTAGGGCAACAGCGGGAGGACCACGGGCAGCTGCAGGGCAGCTCGGGGCGGTCACACAAAGCCCCAGTTCCAAGCAACATAAGGAGCTCATGCTTGATTTGGAGACACCAGGAAACTCATGAAGATTTGTAAGCAGGAGAGCACCGGACCGCTCAGGTAGAAGAGGGGAGGGGCCCTGGAGGGGGAAGAGGCTGGGCCGCTGGCAGAGCTCTGGGCAGAAACACCAAGAGCCTGAAGGAGGGCCACGTGTGGGGATGAACACGTTCTTGGGACACACTCACAAGGACATATGAGTTTTACCATTTAAACCAGCAGCACAGGTCCCATCTTCATGGCAATTTTAAGAACCTTGAAATGTGAGTACCCAGAGGTGCCTGTTAATCAAATATTAAATAACCACTGTCCAAACAGGGATTGAAATGTCCGGTGCTGGCTAAGTGCGTCCAAAGGTCCTGAGCTAGAGGAACAGAAGAGAGGTCAAGTGGTTTACATGGAACAAATGTTTGAGCGGATGAAGACAGTGCGCAGGTTCCTCCGAGTAATCACGGGGAAGGTCAGGAGACTCGTTTGTTAGGCGAGTGGAAACTGACAAAGCCAAGCTCAAGTCAGAGGACTGACAAACCCATAGCCAGCCGGGAGGAGAGGGCCTGCTCAGACCTGAAGCTCTGCTTCACAACTTCCCCAACAAAACAACAACCCCAGGGGGTGCCTGGGTGGCTCAGTCAGTTAAATGTCCGACTCGGGTTTTGGCTCAGGTCATGATCTCATGGGTCCTGGGATCAAACCCTGAATCGGGCCCTGTGCTCAGCGGGGAACCTGCTTGAGATTCTCTCTCTCCGCCCCTCCCTGACTCATGCTCGCTCGCTCTCTCTCAAATAAATAAATCTTTGGGAAAAAAAAAAAAAAAACAACAACAACAACCCGAAAGGTCACTCCTCTGCCCTCAACCCCTTTGGCCTCTCCACAGTATCTGGCTAAAGACTTTGAAGTTCCTTACAAACTTGTCACATTCATCACCAGGCAAGTAATTTAAGTTTTTAGGACAGGATGATAGATTTCTGTTTTCTTTTTAATAGGAAGAGTAAAGTGAAGAGTTATTTTTCGGGGCCAAAGAAAACCTGGAACTTTGCTTCAAATAAAATCTACCAAACACATGTGGAAGCAAACAGACCAGAGTTTGAATCCCGGCTCCACCACCTCCCATCGAGGGTGTGACCTTGAGTAAGGGCTTGACCTTGCTGAGTTTTCATTTCCTCATCTGTAAAATGACAGTCCCACCCACCCCCCAGGATTGCTAGTGAGCCAGCCTTGTGAGGAGCCAGGGGCAGGGCTGGGCTCACAGGAGGCCAACAACGTCAGTCCCTTCCTCCAAAAGCCAGCTTTACTCCTCTACCTCCCATGTCCCTGGGCTTGGTCACAGCCTCTGCTCCCAAACCACCTCCTTTCCTGTCTCCTCTTCCCAGTCTTCCGAATCCTCCAGATGGATGCCTCTGAGTTAGACAGCTTTGTCTTAGTCCTCGCCTGCAATGCCCCATGGGAAGTATCACTTTGTACCACAGATGGGATAAAATGCTTAAGAACGTGCGCCATGTCCTCAGACCCATGGGCTCAAATCCTGGTTCAGCCTCATACTAGCTCAGTGATCTTCAGGGAGTCACTTAACTCCCAAGATGGTGAAGTGTCCGTCAGTTTTGCATAGTGGTTGCTAGGAACAAGGCCCGGACCAGAAAGGGACCTGCAAACGTCAGCTAGTGTCACTGCTGGTTCTTCTTACCTGTGTCCAGTGTCCTCCCCTTCTCCTGCTGTCCCCGCCTCCGCCCAACCGCTCTCCCAGCTGCCTGATGTCTAGGCGGCTTCCTGACTGCTCTCCTGCCGCCGGCCTCTCCCTCCTCGAATCAAACCTACATCCTGTTGCCAAATTCCACTTCCTCCCATGCCCCTTGGGCTCTAGTTCAAGAACCTGCTGAGGCCAACGACATTCAGTTCAAGCCCCCACCCACCCTTCCCCCAAACTCCACATCCCACCACTTCCTAAAAACACACTTTCTACTCCAACCAGCCAGCCTCCCTTCCTGTCACCTGAATCATGCCGCCCCTCCCCACCCCCACCTTTCTTTTCAGCTGCCAAACCCTCCCTGCTGCCCTGCACCTTTGCAAACCCCACTCTGGCCTATAACCTTGTGCTCAAGCTCCACATGCTCTCTGACCTCTCCTGGCCTCTCCCCTCCTATCTCTGAACTTCTGTGGCTCTCATCAGTGCCCAGGCAGCCATCATCCGTGGGTCCTGAAGCAGCCCCAGGGACACGGGCAGATGCGAAGGAAACATCTGGTAGTCAAGGGAGTCATGTCTACAACTGAAGACCAGAATAGAGGCAGAGGAGTTAAGTGGCATGCCAGGATCCCAGAATATATCAGTAACACGGGAGACACGGACGGTAACTGTGGCAAAGAGCTCACGTTTGAAACGACTCAAAAGCTTACGATGACTTTATACCATAGCAAGTTCCTAGTTACTAGCTGGTGTACTCGTCACTGATCTCGGTTTCATAAGAATAAACACTTAAAAAATAGGATTATCTGGTTTTTCAAATTGCTGGAACTTCAAATATTTGGATGTTTATTGCACAATCAAGGGAGGGTGCCAGGGGACGGTTGATATGGTCTTCAGTCCCCTTCCCCATAACCTCTATCAGCTTCCCAACCACTCTGAATAAACAAAGAAGTAAACACTGTGCTTATTACGCAAATATACCTCCAAGAATAGTCCTATAAGGCTCTCCTATACTGAGGCTCTGGAACCACCATTGCATACGAGGGCATTAGAAAGGGTGAGCATGTCCGGGTTGCCTGCAGCAGCAGCAGCAGGACAGGCTGTCCCCACCTCCGTCCTGGATACCACCCTCTCCTTGTCCACAAACACCACACTCCTCCATGGTGGGGGATGTTCCCGCCCTCCTCCATGGGGCCCAGCATCTTACCGCCCTCCCGAAGGGTCTGGGTCAAGTCCTCCACCAGGGCCACGGCCTCCTCACTGGTTTCGGGACGATGCTCTTGCAGCCAGGCCTGAATTTCCCTTGGTAGCACGGTCAGCATCTGTTCCTTGGTGTGCACTTCCGGCCTCAGCCAGCGCCGACAGAGCTCTCGGAGGCGGCCAAGTGCACCCTGCGGCCCTCCGGCGGCCTCCCCGTGGGGGCTACCCTTGCCAGCACTCTGGGGAAAGGGCTCTGACTCAGGGCCATCTTCCTGCAATACAGCTTCCTGCACCCAAGAGTCATCCTCCAGGATCATGGTGGTGACCTCCTCCTGTTCATCTTCCTCTTGAGGCACTTGGACTAAGGGGCTCAGGGAGCTGGTTACTCTCGGCCCCTCTGCAGCCATCATTCACCTTCCCAGGGCGATCGCCCAGGGCTCTAACCTTGAACCTCAATCTTCTAGAGTGAGGCTCACGGAGGAGACACCTCCTGCCTCAAATTTCAACAAGTAGTCTGGCTGGAAAATGAGAAAGAGAACCACAATCAATAAGTAGACTGTCCTACAATGATCTCACTCACAGAAGCCCAGGTCAGGCCACCAAGTGAGTCTTACATCCGCCAATCAACACAAGTTTCCTGTCCCACTTAAAGGAAAAATGGCTTACTCCTAAAAACCTCTCTCTGTGGCAAAGGAAGTCAAGAAGAATCACAACCACAAAAAAATACAAATTTTCTTTCCAAAAGAATGAGTATCAGAAATTCAGAGTCCTCCTAAGGACCAAGGACTGAGTTATTCTGCCCTAAATCAGTTCAGAGTGAGTGACCTTGACCTAACATACAACTCAGTCCCTTAACCTCATTGACCATCTAATAGGTAGAGATAATAATACCCATCCTTCTTATCTTCTGGGGACATCTTTAAGATTAGCAATGGATCAGATGTCAAGATACTTTGAGCCTCACTTCGAGGAAGGCAGTATCTTTTTTTTTTTTCTAAGATTTTATTTATTTATTTGATAGACAGAAATCACAAGTAGGCAGAGAGGCAGGCAGAGAGAGAGGGGGAAGCAGGCTCCCTGCTGAGCAGAGAGCTGGATGCGGATGCGGGGCTCCATCCCAGGACCCTGGGATCATGACCTGAGCCGAAGGCAGAGGCTTTAACCCACTGAGCCACCCAGGAAGGCAGTATCTTAACTGCATTCTTACCATAGGAGTATTTAGTTTTAAAATATTCATGCTCTTCAATGCAGCCTTGGCCCCCTTGGGAATTTATCTTTAAAAATAACCATCTTTGGGGGCGCCTGGGTGGCTCAGTGGTTTAAAGCCTCTGCCTTCAGCTCAGGTCATGATCCCAGGGTTCTGGAATCAAGCCCTGCATCCGGCTCTCTGATCAGCAGGGAGCCTGCTTCCCCTACCCCCCTTCCCTCTCTGCCTGCTTGTGATCTCTGTCAAATAAATAAATAAAATCTTAAAAAAAAAAAATCTTTGAAGAAAAATTTATTTGCAAGTAAACAAAACCATAGCCTTGTTTCTAAATGCAAAAAAAATTTTTTTTAATTGACATTTTAAAAACCAGCAGCAGAGGAATGGTTAATGAATTATGCCACATCCATACAGTAAACTGTACTTAAAACTATGCTGATTTAATCATGGCTACCTTTAGGGGGTGGGGTACTGGCTGAGAAGGGGCTCAGAGAAGCATTTGGGGTGCTGGAAATGTTCTGTATCTTGATTTAATGAGGGTTGCACAAAGCATACGTATGAAATTTAAGATCTGTGCATTCTGCTGCATGTAGTTTTAAGTATTTTTTAAAATTCTGTTGATAAATATTATTAACCATTAATAATCTGAGATAATATGCATGTTTCATAAACATGAAAATTAGCGACAAAAACAAACCTAGCTAAACAAAAACACCACAGTATGATCCCAAATCCGTTTAAAAATGAACACAGCAGTGAAATTACTATTTAAAATAAAGACTATAAAAGCAATGAAAACTCATGTTTTAAAAATCACTACCACATCACAAAAACTCAGATACCCCCCCCCTTTTTTTTAAATGGGGCGGGGGAGGGCAGAGAAGGAGGAAAAAACAGAAGAAAGCAAATCTAGTGGGAACCCCGAAGCTCTCAATGTGTATTTACCAAAGGGCTGTAAGAGGCACAGGTATAACAGAAGTCTGGATTGGGAGCCCGGGAAAACTGCTCCGGGTCAGCTCATTCGCTGTCTGCCCCGGGGCAAGACACGCCCCCTCGGAAGCTCAGTTTCCCCATCTGTAAGCGACCAGCTGGGCGGAACGCCGTCCAGCGTGGCTTCCAGTCTTAACCCCGCGCCCCTGGGTGGATGTGCAGGGAGCTCACCAGCCCAGAGCAAGGTCCGGGTGCGTTCGCCGATCCGACCGGGCGCGTCAACCCGGGGGCCCCGGCCCGCGGGCGCGGACAGAGCCCCCGACACCCCTCCCCCAGCAGGGCTGCCCGCACTGGCTCCAGGCCCGTTATTCCCTCGCCGCGGGCTACCCCCCGGCCCGCGCCGCTCCAGGCCCGTCTCTCCGGGCTCACCTCTCGGGAGACCAGGTCGGGCCTCCGCAGCCACTCCTCGCGCCAAAGCGCCCCCGGGCACGGCCCGGCCCCTCCGGACTATCCGCGGCTCAAGCCCGAGGGGCACCGAGAACAATGGACGGGAGAGGCCCGCCCCCCGCCGCGCTCATTGGCCGCCGAGGACGCCCCCTGGAAACCCTGCTCTCCTACTGGCGAACCCGGCCCCCAGCCCGACGGCGGGGTGGGGAGGCCGGGCCAAGGGCATTGTGGGAGTTGTAGTCCACCGTGGCTGCCGGGCGGCGGGGAGGGGAGGGGAGCGGAGCTGGGGGTTGAGAGCCCGGGCGGTGCCGCCGCGCCGGCCGCAGGCAAAGCCGCAGACCGGCCTTCAAGACCCCAGGGCTTGCCGGAGTAGGGACCTAGGACGGGTCATTTCACCTCCCTGAGGCCTCTGTGTATTTGGCTATGAAAAATGTAAGTTGTGTGGAGGGGCTCGAAGGTCCCCTTTTTGAGCCGGGAATTGTGTGCCGAGGCAGGTTGTCAGGCCCCCGAAGGCTGTGCCCGAGCTGGGAGGAGTCCGCTGCCGGAGCCCGGCGCCCTCTCCCGCAACCTGCTGGTCCACGCTCGCACCTGGCCTTGGCACACCCCTTTGTTTTCGCACGTGGTGTTCCTGCCGCTGGAGGCAAGCCAGGTCCCGCCTCGTCTTTCGTCCACCTGGTCTCCTTGGAGCCTGCCCCAGCGCCGCCTCCCTGCGCGCGGACGCCGCTCCCAGCACACCCGTTCCACGTGTCCACATCAGTCCCTGGTCCCAGTGTTGCTGACCATGGGTCTCGGCCCTGGGAGGTGAGAGCGGAAGATCGGTCTCTGTCCTTCCCACAGTCGATGCCCTTGAAGAAGTAGCTGCCCGCAGCGCCGCATGACAACAGGTGAGGAACCGTCTGGAAATTAAGGGGGAAACAGGAGGATGGAGGGAAACACGCTCTCAGCGGTCTGTGATAGAAAGACTGTGAATGCTTACACAGAGCAGTGATCGGAGGCGCCCAAGCAAATGACCGACTGCCTTCGCTGTTCTGATTTTTTATTTAAATTACATTTCATATTGATGAAAATATTGTATTTGAGAAATGTTTTATGTTTATTTGGGTGATTTTAATCTCCTTTTCTGTGAACGGATTGTTCGTATGTTCCCATGTTTGTTCGCTTGTTTTCCTTTGATCCAGTATACAGTGTTTCCAAGTGTGCAATAATGAAGCAATTCCATACAACACTCAACACTCAGTGCTCATCAGGACAAGTGCGTTCCTCAGTCCCTATGTCCTCCTTCACCCAGCCCCAAACCCCTCCCCTCTGGTAACCAGCAGCTTGTCCTCTCTAGTTAAGAGTCTATTTTCTGGTTGGTCTCTGTTTTTTTTTTTTTTTTTTTTTCTCCCCTTCCCCTTTGTCCATTTGTTTTCTTTCTTTCTTCTTTATTTTATTTTAATTTATTTAAGAGAGAGAAAGATAGTGACAGAGATAGCAAGAGAGAGCACACACAGAGATGAGAGGGAGAAGCAGGTTCTTACTGAGCAGGAAGTGGGACTCCGGACTTAATCCCTGGACCCTGGAATCATGACCTGAGTAGAAGGCAGAGCTTAACCGACTGAGCCACCCAGGTGCCCCTGTTTGTTTTGTTTCTTAAATTCCACCTCTGAGTGAGATCATACAGTATTTGTCTTTTCCCGGTTGACTTATTTCACTTAGCACAGTACTCTGTCGTTCCATCCACGTCATTGCAAATGGCAAGATTTCTTTTTCTTCCCATGCTTTAATCAAATTTATTTGCAGGAGTTCTTGGCATAGTAAGAAAGTGAGTTTTTTGTCATGGAAGTTGCCATTTCTCAGTTTGCTGGGTTTTTATGTTTTTTGTTTTGTTTTGTTTTAGCGTAGAAATTTTTATGCTGTCTACATTGTCTTCTTATAGCTTCTGAGTTTGGGGTCACTCTTAGAGAGTTCTCTGCACCACTCCGAAGATTATTTCGGTTTCCCCTGCCTTTCACTCATGAACGCCCTTAATCAGTCCAAGTGTAACGATGCAAGGTGAAGTCCAGTTCCACTACCTCGCCCCAGCATCCTCCTGTGTTAGGGTTAGTGGACTGTATGCAAATAGCACCACCTGGAGGCCAGCTTGAGACGTTTGCACTCCGTGCCTGGAGGTGGAGCTCCAGTGGCCACTCCCCTGGGCCAGCAGTCTTAGAGAAGATATACAAAATAGTTGAGGATGATAATTCTTGGGGATGCTCTCATATTACAAAGATTTGCTTTTCCCCACTTCCATCCTCCCTAGGAATGGGAATGTACACGAAGGGGAAAAGATGTGTTTGGGTGTGGGGGCCTGGGGTGTTGGTTGTGGAAACTTTTAGCAACTTAAGAGTGTGTTTACCTCTGCTCCTATCCCAAGCCAACCCTTGGCCACAAGAAACTGGCCCTGTCTTGTCACAGGACAATCCTGGAGCCAGCCATCTCTTTCCTGTGCCTGATTCTCTAGGAGATTGGTCCTGGCCATTGTCAAATGTCCCAGGTTTAGCTAGAAAGCAACTCACATTCAGGGTACCTGGCTGGTGCAGTCGGATGGCTTTGGCTCAGGTGGTGATCTCAGAGTCACCCTGAACTCAGGGTCGGGAGACTGAGCCCCATGGAGCGTCTGTTTAGCATTCTCTCTCCTCCCTTTGCCTCCCCACACCCCGCATGTGCACTCTCTCACACAAGCAAATCTTTGCTTCTTAAAAAGATTCATTTATTTATTTGAAAGAGAAAGAGAGCATGCCAGCAAGGGGGAGGAGCAGAGGCAGAAGCCAACACCCCACTGAGCAGGGAGGCCCGATGCAGGACTCAGTCCCAGGATCCCGAGATCATGTCCTGAGCTGAAGGAAGAGCTTAACCGACTGAGCCATCTAGGTGTCTAGTAAATAAATCTTTAAGAGAAAAGAAAAGAAAGCAATTTCACATTTAAGACCAGTTTATGGCATAATGGACCTGGTGCCCAAGCCAGCCTGGGGCAGCAAGCAAGCCTAGAAACACAGCCCAGTTTAGTGAGTAGGATTGCTCCCCCAAGAAAATCTTTTCTCCATTTGCCAAACTCCAGGGGTGACAGAGGTCTGCACTACCTGTGGGCATTCCTGGTTAAAAGCTTCAGAGAACTATGGCTAAGTAAAAAAGACTTATTGAAAGAATATTAGGGAACTTGCAGAGTAAATGGGAAAGAATCAGGCTTAATTAAGAACAGTTGGGAGCTGGGACGCCTGGGTGGCTCAGTGGGTTAAGCCTCTGCCTTCCGCTCAGGTCATGATCTCAGGGTCCTAGGATTGAGCCCCGCATCAGGCTCTCTGCTCAGCAGGGAGCCTGCTTCCTCCTGCCTCTCTGCCTATTTGTGATCTCTCTCTCTCTCAAATAAATAAATAAATAAAATCTTAAAAAACAAACAAACAAACAAACAAATAGATGGGAGCCAAGAAACTAGGGCTAGGTAAAGCCCCAAGAACCACAACAATGGTCTTCCCAGGCTCGTGTGCCTCCCCATGAGCTCCTGCGACCCTACAGTCATCTCTGTTGGCCTGCCCTCCTCTCAGGGTTCCAAAACCAGGGAAAGCGCATTTGGTTGGCTGAGTCTGTCCCATGCCCAAACCCTGAACCCTCCAGGGTGAGAGGGGATTGGATCTGGCTCCTAGTTTCCTCACCGGTAGCCCACACCAAGCCCACACCACTCCAGAGACTATAGGCCTACTCGGAGAACCTGACCAGACAGAAAATACACGCGTCACTACTTGTTTTTAGATGCTGAGCAAGAAGACACCTTGTCCCAGGGAGTGCTCAGCCTGAGCCTTTCAGGGAGCACCCAGGTCAGCTAGAATTCACGAGATGATAAGAAGGGGGATGGGTGGAACCTGCTTTCTAGAGCACTGGGTCAGGAGCAGGGCCAGTGACCTGAATTGAGGTAGCGGCGCCTTCAAGCCCTGAGGACTCAGGAAGTATCCCCACCCCTCCTCCCAAGACTCCCCCCACCTCCCTACCATTGTTCAAACTACCCTATGTCTTCGCTGTCCGGAAGGGGATCTTAGTTTGAAGGAGGCCTGTGTGTCTCATTTTTGCTAGTTACGCCACAGGAGCGGGACCACTAAACGGGCCTGGGAGAAGATTCTATCGTGACCAGTGCTGTAGGAGGCTCTAAGGCTGGCCCAAAGGGAAGAAAAAAAAATTTTAAAGGGGGCTTCTGGTGGGAATGCCAAGGGAGCAAGAGAAACAAGGGAATGAGATCGGGGAAACATTTATTTTAAAGAGAAAGGAGTGAAATTCAGTCCAAGAAGTGTCACTGAACAAAGTCAAGTTAAGAGCCCCATGACACATGCCCCTGTGAAAAGAAGAGCTGGCACAGGATTTTTTGTTTTCGTTTTCATTTTCAAGGAAATTTTCACCCCTCCCAACAAGGCCTGAATTTTTCCCCATATTTTGGGTTTTTTGTTTTGTGTTGTTTTGTCTTTGTTTTTCATTTTTTTTTTATTTTTATTTATTTATTTTTTAATGAACAGCTTGTCGTTAGTGTAATGGGGGCGGAGGGGGTGTCTTTGGTCCTTGTCTTTCTCCTCCCGGGACGCTGGGTTTTCTCTCTTTCAGTTGTCCTGTGCTGGCCTGGGCTTCTCTAGCCCCTTGGTGCCAAGAAGGAGAAGAATGGCTTTACAATCTCCGTCCAGTTCCCATGCCCTACTCTGAACTGCTGTAGTCAGGGGTATTTCTCAGAAGACACAAGGCTGCTCTGGGCTGGACAGAATGACTCAGGAGGCAGCTTTGTCTGAACTGGTGGTTGCCGAACACAGAGGCACTGGTGGAACCAGGAAGGGCT